TATATTCTGAATTTAGAAATAATGTAAAATCCAAGTAGCCAAGGTATCCTTGAAACAGTAAATCTAGCCAGGCAGGGTGTATATGTCTTTAGTCTCAGCACTACTGCACTGGGAAGGCACAGATCAGTGGATCTCTGAGTTCAAGATCTATAGCATGAATTCTGGGACAGCCAGGTGATGTGGGATTTCCCTTTGTATGCTGTGATTCCCATTAATGAATAAAGAAACTGCTTTGGGCCTATAGCAGAGGTATAAGGGAACAGAGCTAGGATTGGGGAGCATGGGGGTGGCAGACACACACAGAATACTGGGAGAAAGGAGGCAGAGGCAGAGAGAATTCGTGGATCCTCCACCTGAGACAGACACTGGAAACATTACCAGGTAAGCCACTGCCATGTGGCACTACACAGATGAATAGAAATGGGTTAAATGTATTCCAGGCTAGTCCTTTTCTGCTTCAGCTGTTAATTCTCTAGGACTGTTTAAATCTTTATCACCTTCCAAGGTTTTGTTCAAATGAATTATTAGATCAGGTATTATCCCAATAGCTGGTCGTAGACTGGAAATGTCTCCTAACAGTCTTTGAAAGTCATTAAGAGTCCGTAGGTGATCTCTCCTAATTTGTGCCTTTTGTGTCTTAATTTTTTGCAAACCTATTTTATAACCTAAATAATTAACAGAATCTCCCTTCTGTATCTTTTCAGGAGTAATTTGCAATCCCCATTTAGGTAAAAGTATCTTTATTTCTTCAAACAGTCTGTTCAAGGTATGCATGTTTGAATTGGATAACAAGATGTCCTCCATGTAGTGGTATATTATAGATTTGGGAAATTTCTTGCGTATTATTTGCAATGGTTGGGTCACAAAATATTGGCACAAGGAGGGGCTATTTAACATACCTTGTGGGAGGACGGCCCAGTGGTACCTCTTGGAAGGTTGAGAATTGTTGTAAGTAGGCACCGTGAAGGCAAATTTTTCTCTATCTTCCTTTTGTAAAGGTATAGTGAAAAAACAATCCTTTAAATCAATAAGGGCCCCGGTGCAGGCTTGTGAGCTGCCCAGTGAGGGCAGCCGAGCGCACGGGACCTGCTGTGGGCACGGAGGGCTACCCGCTTGATTACAAATGCTTCCCGAGCTCCGGCAACTAATCCCGCTCACAAAGGCTGGCAAAGATCGAGCTCCCTGTGCCGGGGCGGGGGGCCAAAATGTGGCGGTTTAGATTAATGCAGACAAACTGTGATAAGTATATACAACTTTAATGCAAAAACCAGACTCATGCAACCAAGGCTCCCGCGGAGCACAGAAAACAGGAAGGGCCCCCCCCTGCTTCTGCGCACCCAATTTATCAGTAAACATTCGCCCGAGGCAAGTCCGCCCCCAATGGGTGGGCTTATCCCTACAAAACCCAGCATGGTGGCATGCATTTATAATCCTAGTTAGAGGTGGAGAGGTAGAGGCAGGCAGATTCCGGGGATGGAATGGCCTATAAACCAGTCTCATCTAATCAGTGATCTCTAGGTCCCAGTGAGAGAGACAGAAACACACACGCGTCTCTATTTATGTGTGCATGTATAGTAATATATCTATATAGGTACAGTAAATATATAATATGCATATACATACATACATATTGTATATATTACTGGAAGAGGAGATCTTGTGGGGAGCTTTAAGTATGCAGCCTTCATATGAGTTGTCACCCAGGCTGGGGTGGGCTTTGGACGACACAGCAGCAGCCTTTGAGTCACCCATGCTCCTGTAACTAAACCTTCATCCATATTGCTGTAAATAGCCCCAATAAACTTATTGACTTATTAAACTGATATTGTAATG